AGAACTCCGCACCGAGTAAAATATCAATTTTCCCTTGTTGGAAAAATGTTGGATCTGCTAACTGAATGATGTTCGGGACCTTCCATTTGGAAATATCGTAGCTGCAACTTGGTTGAGGTGGAACTATATTTGGAAGCACAAACGCTTCGACTTCTGTAGTAAACCTTGAGTTAAGTGATTGCAATTTGATGTTAACTCGCTGCGTTGAATTTTTTTGCACCTTTCCTATACCTTCTACGCACAATAACGATTTTGTTTTTGATATATTGAGCCTTTTGACAAGACGCTCAGAGACTATGTTCACTTGCGAACCAGAGTCTAGTAATGCTCGGACTTCAAATGTATTTCCATTAGACGCAGTTATTTTGACTCTTGCAGTTGGCAAGAGAACATAATCACGATGATCTGTGGATAAATTTGCTGTCGCTGTGGTAACTGCGGTGTTGTACCCACTTGAGCTAGGTTGAATGTTCTGTTTTGTTTGGTTGTTAACTTCCAAATGTAGCAACGTGTTATGCTTTTTATTACATTTGGTACAACTTCTTGATGAACATTTGTTCACCACATGATCATTTCTGAAGCAGTTAAAACAGAGCTGTTGATTTTTCACCCAATCCAATCGTTGAGATGGTGAAAATTGCAAGAATGTACGGCAATGATACAGTGGGTGCCTGTCCACATTGCACAGTTTGCAATTGTTGTTTCCTTTAGAAACTGTTACAGCCGATGACACTGAGTTATTTCGATTTGCTTTAATTTTTATAGCCACCTTATCTTTTTGTTCTACAACTTCCATCAGTTGAAACTGTAGTTCTGAAAAGGCTAAAAATTTCTGAATGTTTTGTATCTCTTTTGGTTTTGCCAAAGATTGCTCATATCTAATGAGCATCGTCCGATCGAGTTTTTTAATTAGTACCTGTAACAAAATTGGGTCCCAAAATGTCGTTTGAACGGCAAGATTGTTTAGTGCTAATAGACACTCTTTTGTTGTGTCATGTAAATTTTTAACTGCTGCCACAGTTGATGTGCCTGATGGCTGATTTAGAAGTTCATCGATTAACGTGGACGCCAAGACCCTTTTGTTATTATAACGGTCTTGCAGTAATGTCCAAGCTGCCGAATAATTGTCCTCCGTTATGCTGAAATGACTTATCAATTTTTCAGCTTCACCTGTCACATGTGATTTCAAGTACCACATTTTTTGAGCAGCTGGTAGTGGCTGATTGTCTACCATTTGTGTAAACAAGTCAAAAAATTGCCTCCATTTTAAGTAATTCCCATTAAAACTTGGGATTGTTACCTTTGGCAATGGCAGTGAGGACCGCATGTTTGGTTCTGCTACTGTTGCTTGTTTCTGTTGTAATTTATCCAATTTTATGGACAACTCTATCAAACATTGTTGTACCAAATCTTCAATTTGGTAATACTCATCTTGATTGAATCCTGACATCAGTGGATTTTCAAAGTTTTCCCAGAGTTCATCATGCAAACATTCCAATTGGTTCCAATGTTGCATGATTGTGTTTGATTTCATTTCGTAATATTGAAATGGTTAAATGCCTTAGCTCTCTGAAAAACTCTCTACTAATCTTTTTAGAGCTGCCATTCGAGCAGATATTTTTCTTATCAAACCATTTGTCGTAGCCACTAGTAGCGGCTGTGATGCCTTTTGGTTACTAGCAGCTTCACCAAAGTTGTCTGCTGCTTTGATCCGAAGGGCTTCTGTCTTGAATATTTCACTGTATTCATTTGTTAGTCCTCTTATTTTCTCGTAATAAGAAGATGTGAAATACTCATCATCTGTCGGTTGATCGATGAGAGTTCTGTGCATTGTGTCAGTTTGTTCAAACTGCTTCCAAGCAACATTAAGCCGACGAAATCTTTCACTGTAGTATGCTGATGTTTGCTTGCGTTCAGCCGAATCCTTTTTGAAGTTCCTGATGATTCGCTGAATCCCTTCGCCCTTTTCTTTTTGGGCATCTATGAGTTCATTAAGAGTTGTCATTGATGATTTGTAGTTTTTTGCCAAATGTGCTTAAAAATGTTCTTCGAATGCTGAATGCTGAAACTTAACCGCTGACTGTTGATTGTTGACTGTTGCTGCGTCAAACCAGTCCTGTGCTGCTGTCCGTTTCACGGGGTCACCAAAATGTACGATCACACCAAAATGTATGATCACACGCTGAATCAAAGGTTGAAATCAACTGTTTGCAAGTACTGAACTCTTAAATCCAGTACTTATGTTGACTTATTTGAACACGAGAACCACTGAGCACTTGAACCCAGTGATTTGAAGATTGTCCTAAATTATCCTGATTACTGAACACTTGAATCCAGTAGGCAGGTGCTTATATGGTGTAAATTTGGTACTTGAACCAACTCTACAAGCTATTAGAACGAACAAAAAAGAATCGATAACAAATGTGGCTTCGCATCAATTGAATTGTCAAAAATTCAATTGTGCCCTTTATTTAAAATTGATAATTAATTTACAACAAATAAATTAACTAAAATAACCTTGACCATGCATGCCAAACAATGAACTTATTGCAAACTGCAAGACTGCATTTTCTTGCAGACGAAATTTGACGCTTTTGTTTTCATGTACCAACAGAAGCGTATGACGTATTTTGGGCATTGCATTGACAACGTTATTTTTTACACCAAATATATTTAACACAATTATTACAATACAAATAAAAATAACAAATTATTCATACAAAATTAATAACAAAATATTCATATATATAAACAAATATTCAACAGTTATAACAAAATTTTGTTATGATGACAAACGGTCAATGTATATAAATGAACAGTAATATAGTACTGTAAGTCGAAGAAATCAAACAATAGTTTTACAATAGTGTTGAGAGAAAATTTGCTAAATACATACGTCGAATCAAATCACTTTTTATCTTGTTACTTTCGTAAAATATCATGTGTTATAAACTAATCTCGACTGCTATACATTTTGCCAGTGATTTACCAATCGAAAAAGAAAATTACACAAAAAGTGCATTAAAAGAGCATCTCATTGAAAAAAGTACTCTAGATGTACCAATCCATAACGACGTAACAAATAAAGTTTTTATGGCATACGACAGCAACTTGGTAAAGAAGTGCAAAACAAATACAGAACCATTTTCACAAATATATATTAAAAAGCTAGATATATTCGTGAATTCCTGAAATGGCAAAAAACGAGTGTTGAGATGTAGAAACTAAGTTGTTCAACTTTCATACTTTGATAAAAACTGCCAAAAGTATGTGCTGACAATTGGATATTTTAACGTCATTCATTCGACGAGAAACATGGGTGTGGATGAAATATTTTTTAATCTAACATTACGATTAATTAAAATACTATATATAACTGTACTTGACAATTTTAAAATGAAAAAAAATTTATAATTTTAAACCTTTATATTCCTACAGTTTAAAAATAAACTTATATAATTACGTAAAATCAGTGATTATATAAAAGTATTTTTAGAATAGTTTATTACAAATTCATAGATCTATATTCAAACATTATATTCTTTCATATATTATTTTTGAAATATAGTAAAACATATTATTTTCTAACATTAGAAAATAAAACTTGAAATATAATGATATAATTATTTCAATCCTTTTTATATTAATGCTATATTTTATAAAATACTATTTTGCATTAATCTTACTGTTTTTAAATTGTTATAATTGATGTGAATAAACTATTATTTACGAAACGTCATGCTGTCAATATTGAGAAAACAATGCACGGATTATGCTCTACAGGAGCTCAGATGTCACTGTTGTACTGTATCACTGCATGTGTCTATAAGCTTGAAAATATCGTATGAAATGTATGAACGAATCGAGAACATTCTTCACAAGTTATTTTCAAGTAGGCCTTCTTTCTCTTTGCCTCGCAACTTTCCCCCTGCCACTGGTGATCCCGGGGATATTCCTTTCCCACAGGCCCCAGTCAAGCAGATTTGCTTTGGTGATGAGTGCCTTAATTCGCTCGTAGAACAAAGAAGATGTCACTCAGTGATAAAAAAACCTACCTCATTTATTCCTAAGAATTGATTTTTGTGGATTAAAATCTCAAACTATGGGTGTCGATGCTTTTTAGATAACCCCAAAACAAGACAGTCAACCTTCTGGCTTTTCGGTTTCTGTTACATTTGGAAATAAGTTTTTTTTATAAAATAATTATGACCTCAATTTTAAACAAATTAAATAAACGTAACAAATATCACAATAATTTGTGCATTTTATAATATCTTCACTTTAACACTGTTTTTCGTATGACACAGACTGTACTTATTTACAAATTAATATACTATAAGTTTTAAAAAGAGCAATAAATAACAAATAAGGATGTTTGTAGTAGAAATAACTTTTAATAAGAACACTCTAAATGAAATCCTTTTATTAAAATCACATAATTAAATTTCACGCAAAAAAATTGGTAATCATGTAGCTAAAATGATCAGAATTAAATCAGAATTAAATCATTTGCAAAAAATAATGTGTCTGTCATATTTTAAGACCACACGCTATAGTTTACCGTTTCTTTTGTATAATAAATAGTCTTTCAACAATTTCTTCCAATTTCTTCATTGTCTTGAGTATAGTGGCTCAGATGGATGACTGTATGAAATGCACTAAATTTTGAAGCAATTTTTTAAAAATTTAACATATTCGGCGGCTGTTAAACGATTTTTATTACAAAATGACAAGCCTTAATATAAAATTATGATGCTTATGAGGATGGTTATAGTTTTATATACCTATGTCACAAAAACAGTGGTACCAATTCAAAACCACGAAATAGATAATACGTAATAAAAAGACACTGGATATATTTCTTTTCTTTTCTATTTTTCTGGTGTATTGTACAAGTATAAATAAGCTAAAAGATAAATTTGAAAAAAATATACCATAATATAAATAGAATGTGGTGAAATTCGTGATACATATTAACTTAAAAACTTATTTTGTTACAGGGAGCCGGTTGTACAGCCTTACTTGTCGCAGTTGTTTCAAGGAAATTAGAATTAACACGCGCTGAAAAGCATGTGCATAATTTTATGATGGATACACAACTGACTAAAAGGGTATAACATAATAATTCCATAAAAACATTTACGGCTTTTTCAGAACACCAAGTCATTAATATTTTATTATTTACACCATTAATATCTCATAGAAATATCATATCGCAAAATTATTTTCAAAAATCTATATATTGTTTAACTTCCATATGTAAGTAATACTTATAATTTTTATTTTGTTGTACATGTGTTTATTATTTATGTATTATATACTTTAAAAAAAGCATTTTAAACTCATATTTCAGCTAAAAAATGCTGCAGCGAATGTTCTTCGTGAAACTTGGCTCATTTACAAACATACGAGACTAGTAAAACGGATTAATCCTGGTCGTGTAAGAACCCACCAAAGAAAGTTCCTTCTAGCTATATATGCGTGAGTATTTTTGCAGCCATCACACTTACTTATCCAGTTTAATTTATAGTTAGTTTTTGAATTTGTTTTGCTTAAAAATTTATATTTGTATATAAAATTGATAAGAACGCGTTTGTTCTTAGTAAATTCCAAATGGTTATGTTAAGTAAAATGTTAAGAACGCGTTTGTTCTTAGTAATTTCCAAGTGGTTATATCAAGCTTCCAACACGCACATGCACGCGTTGGATGATATATTTTGTATTTTATTAATTGTAAAACTGCCGAGCACTTAAACTCGTAGTTTGCCTCAATAATCAAATTTGAAATAAAAAAAAACAACTTCAAATATTTTATCTGTATTTTATGTGTCTTTATTTATTTTCAGGTATTTTGGAAATTTATTGTTAAATGTGCTATTTTGAAATGTTGTTACTCGTATCACTGTTCAACCAAAAAGAGAAGTTTGTTAGCTTAAAACCAACACAGAAGCTGCTCTCATGTCCCTAATCTAGCTTAAAGCTTACTTCATTCTCCTTTTGTTGCCAAACAGCTGATTACTAGTGTTTGACAACGTTAAGTAGATGAAGTCTTTTATGTAGATATTACAACCAAGATTTACCTTAAGGAGATTTAACATCCCCCCCGCGTTGAATTATTTGAAAAATTTGAATAATTTAACTAAAAGTACGATAAAATGCATGCCTGCAATTGATATGGCATAACTGCACCTTAATTTCAAATAAACAAGTTGATCTAGGTCATGAGAGCTTGCTTCTGTGTTGTTTTTTTTGCTGGTTTACATCTTAAATTGCACATGATTTTCAACTGTCAAAATAGTAAAAAGCATTGTTAACATTTTTTGTTATTAAGTTTAAGAACAATTAAAAGTTTCATATGTGAATTTTAATAATTTCAATTAGTTACAATTAATTTATTGGTCAGTAATTCAAAAATTTTGAATGTATTTATAAAATTTAAATTTATAAGTGAATTTAAGCCATATTAAATATTACATTGATGAATAATAGACTGAAGTACATCGCTGGACGCCTCATCAGATAACTGTGTACTTATATTATTTAAAAATTTTACATCATGTTTTGTCTTCCCCAGATTTTTGGTGTGAGATCAGCAGTTGCTCGATCGTTTGGATACCTTCAAATTGCGTCCGAAATGATTGATACTACTAACCGTTGAATTTGGTACCTGTATAGGCCTTTTTAATGCTGTCAGTTGTTGTTTTGTTGCTTCTTTGGGTTGTATTGGTTGTATCTTGTCATCTTCACTATCGTTGGTTTCAGAAAAAAGTGGAGCCAAATTATGTATGGCACGTCTCACAATACCTGATGCTGTTTTAACATCGACCACACGTACCATTCCGTCAGTACCCTTATGTATGTTGGTTATTCGACCCAATGCCCACTGAAGAGGAGGTAAATTTCCATCCTTCATGATGACTAAAGTGTTTTCTTGCAAATTTTTGCATTCTTCTCACCATTTATGTCGGTATTGTAACTCATTTAGATATTCAGAGTTCCACCGTCTCCAGAATTCATGTTTTATGTGGGACACCAATTTTAACCTCGTTAGTAATAATGTCTTTAAATTTGTTGTGGTTGCACTTGCTGGTGCTGTAAGAGCTTCACCAATTAGAAAGTGGCCTGGCGTAAGTGCTTCAAAGTCATTTGGATCATTCGACATTGGAGTAATCGGTCTTGAATTTCAAATTAACTCTATTTCAATACCAACTGTTTCTAACTCTTCGTACGTTAAGGATTCTGTGGCAACGCTGCGCACAAGTAAATGTTTCGCCGACTTCACTGCTGCTTCCCAGAGTCCTCCGAAGTGAGGCGTACGAGGAGGAATGAAGTTAAATTTAATACCTTTATTGCTGCACGCTCTTTCAATTACTTCTGATTTTTTTGAGTAAATTATTTCTACCAGTTCATTCAGTTTGTTATTGGTTCCAACAAAATTAGTTGCATTGTCACAAAATATATTTTGGCAATGCCCACGCCTCGCAACAAAACGTTTAACTGATCCAATAAATGCGTCGGTAGTTAGGTCACTTACCAGCTCCAAATGTACTGCCTTGGTGGCAAAACAACAGAAAACAGCAATATATGCCTTGTGCGGTCGCTTTCCTCTTACTTTGTAGTGTACCCAAATTGGTCCACAAAAATCGACTCCCGTGTTAAGAAATGGCCTACTTGGATGGACTCGAGCATGTAGAAGATTTCCCATGATTTGATTGAAAGTTACAGGTCTACACCTTGTACAACGAATACAGTGTTGCACGATGGACCGTGCCATTACCTTCCCCTTGATCGGCCAAAATTTTTGCCGTGTCGCTGCCAATAATGCTTGGCCACCGCAATGCATGTTTTCTTCGTGAATTTTCTTCATTAATAGCTTAACTATGCAGTCATTGTATGGGAAGAGCATTTGATGTTTAGCATTATATGTTAGATTTGATGCGTCTTCCTCCGACCCGAACGATATCATATTTATCTAAAAACGGCGTCAATGCAGCTAACGAGCTAGATGCTTTCACCAGTTTGCGATGCTTTAAATCAATTACCTCTTCCTTGAATTCAACAGCCTGAATGCATTTCACGATGTACCTAAGTGATTCTTCTAACTCTTCCGGATGTAATTCATTGGTATGATTATTAAATTGAAGTCGCTTAATACGCCTTATGAACCGTAGCACATAACCAACAATATGAAGCAATGTGTTAAAAGAATTTCTGTGGTTTACCTTGTATATCCATTCAGTATCATCTTCGGTTGCTGTTAGCATCACTTTCTGCGAAGTTTTTTTAACTCGGCGTTGTCTGGCTGATTGCATAGGGCTTTATTAAATTCTTCTGGCCACATATCTTCACGACCATAGGACCATAGAACCATAAATTATGAGTTTGCAATTGAGATGGTTTGATGCCGCGTAATAAGGCATCTGCTGGGTTTAGTCTTGAACTTACATGTCGCCACTGACTTGGTGCGGATAAGTCTTGAATTGCCGCAGTCCTGTTTGCTACAAATTGTTGATGTTTTGCTGGCAATGAATTAATCCAGTAGAGTACAATTTCAGAATCAGTCCAGTAATATGATTCTGTCTTATGATTTAAATCGCCCTATTCATTAATGTGGCTCCTAGAAGAGCAGCGCACAATTCTAAGCGTGGAATGGTTTGCTTTTTGATTGGGGCGACCCGAGATTTAGAGCATAGCAGTCGATTGATCAAGCGTCCATCTTTCAGTGTTGCTCGAATGTATATAGCTGCTCCATAAGCCTTTTCGGAAGCGTCACAAAATGCATGGAGTTGCACCGATGAAGCAATCTGCTGTCCAAAAATATGCCTATCTATCTGAAAATGGTGAAATGACCTTAACTCGTCACAGAAATTAATCCATCTGGTATGTACTTCACTCGGCACAGCTTCGT